TAACTACTCTTGCAAAACAAACTTTTGTTATTTAATGTCAAAAAAAAAACTTTGCGGTTATTGTCTTTTTAATGGTTGTCTATGTTCTAATATAGTTGCCGGGGCCGCTAAGCACCAAATCTCGAAACCATTAAGAATTGTTTTGAAAACAAAAAAACTGCAATTAATGTTAGTCACTTTACCACTATTTAGTCAGACCATGATCTGGCGGAAGTATGACTAAGCACTGGCTCCTTCGTCCAAAAAATAAAAAAATAAAAAAAATAGAAACCTCAAAATTTAATCTCTACTTAAAGTTGAAGTCACTGCCACCAGAAAACAATTCACAATTTTCAAAACCCAAACAATTCAACATTCAATTCTGTTTTTTTTTCATTGCTTTGGGAGATTCAGATCAAGAACCATTGTTGAATTGTTTTTTGTAGTTCGTTTTTTTTATTAGAATTGAATTGCAAGAAAACCCCGAAACAAAAAGAGTAGTAGTTGGACATAAAAAATCGAAGGCACAAAGCAAGGCGAGAACTAACTAAAAATTGAATGGCAAAGAAACGGACAAACAAAATAGAAACAATGGAAAACAAACTCTAATGGCTGCTAACATTGATGTTGAAAGTCGTTTTGCCACTTTTAATTTATTGTCTGAACTGTCTGACTGGCTGGTTGGCAGTGTTGTTTGTTTTCTGATTTTTAAACTGACATTATTCGTCTCTCGCTCTATACCCGTCTATTTCCTTTTGGATGTTTGACTTTTTTTTGCGAAATTTTTTATTTTGTTTTGTTTTCAAAATTTTATGGAGGAACACAAAACTAAATAAAAAAACAATATTGAAGTTGCCAGGCAAAAAACGGCTGATAAAATAATTGAATTGCACACCAGACAACACAAAATTGGAGTACAAAGTAGAGAGTCATAAAGCTTTGCAATAAATGTTGTAAACAAAATATTCGACTAATTATGGAGTTTACACAAAAGCCATTCATACCGTCGTCCGTCATAAATGGGTTAGCTGTTGTGGGCAACAAGTTGGCAAATTCATAACGCCACACATTGCGGACAATGGAAATTGATTTCAAACCAATTTCAAGTGGATATTACAAAACTGTGTCTCAAAATGTTGAGAAACTACTCCTTGCGGATATAAAATGGATTAAAATCAATGGAGATACTTTATCTAAATTGATTTACAAGGCATAGATACTTTTACGAGGGTTCCAAAATAATTTAGATGGTTTAAGTACAGGGTTGCCCATATTCGACGGACCTTTGGGCCCATTCCAATCGACGAGGCTTGTCCGCAGGCAACATTCTTTGCGTCAATTGAATTTTGTACGGGAACAAATGCAAATCAATGCGAATAATCCGTTGTAAAGTGGACCGAGCCATGCCCAACTGCTGAGAACGGCGTTTTTGGGATGTTCTTGGGGACCTCTCAACACTGGCTCGTACGGCAGCGATATTCTCGGCCGATCGCCTTGGTCGACTTTTATATGGCCTCTTCGGATTAGAAAGAGCCTTACCAGTCGAAAATTTTTCGTATAAACGCTTAATGGTGTTCTTAGGAGGGGCACTTCTCACATTTTTTAATGTTTTAAAAGCACGTTGAGTTTTCACAATTGACTTCTTCTGTTGAATGTAAATTTCAGAGCGCCACGTGAGCGCTTTATTGGTTCATGGTAAAAATCTGCTTGGACTGACGCTTCAAATGCGGTATGTCATTAAGCGATGTGACATCTCTGTCAAAAGTTATGGCGTTGCCAGATGGGTCCGTCGAATATGGGCAACCCTGTATCTACATAGCTTAGATAAATTATCTAGGATATTTGGATAATGCTGATACATATTTTTCACCTTAAATAGATAACGTAGATACATTATCTGCGATCATAGATTGTGAAACAGTTTTACGGGAAGTTATAAAAACACGATAAATAAAGCCAAGCTAAATAAACCACCGGGAGAAGATCGTATTCCATACGCATTTTATTAATACACAGCAGATGATTTTCTAACGTACTTTTTCGTACAATTTTCGAAGAGTTGATTCGTCATTTGTGAAATGCATAATTTAATTAATTTTCATACCTAGAGAAGGCTAGAGAAGGTATATAGCGAAAATGTGCCTCATCGAAATAACGGTTTTAAACCCTATTTGTCTTTGGACCAAATCCGTTTCAGGACATTTGGAGTCTATCTACCGATGTCTGTCTGTCTTGTACGTATGATAACTCTCGAAGGGAGTATCCGATTTGATGTAGATTTGGTACATCGTAATAATATTGTCAAACTTAGAACGAGTTCGGAAATGGAGTTCGGACCTCAAGGTACCTCCACTACAAAAGAACGAAATTTTCAAAAAAAAAAAAAAAAAAATCTTTTTGCATCAGTGCTACGTGAGGTCCGAAAATGGACAATCTCGGTCCACTCCCCCACATAGGGACAAATTTTTGAATAATTATAACTCTTATAAAATGTGATGTAAGGTTCCGATTATCTTCACATAACACACATAACTATATTTTTATTAAACCAGCGTCTGGTGTGAAGATGGAATATATCGGTCCACTGCTTCTGGTACCTCCCCCCCATAAAGCGTGAAATTTTTGAATATTAATGAAGCTCATAAAACACAAAATTAACATCTGATTCCATTCCGACTTGGCACATCTCAATATTACCCTCATCGCAAGATCTGTTATAAATATGGTAGAGATCAGACCATTTCTTCTGGTACCTCCCCCATAAAGGCTCAAAATTTTGTATAACCAAAAATATCATAAAATCCGAAATAAGCATCAGGTTTTCTTCATATTTCACACATCCCATTATTTTTATTGACCAAAGGTCTAGTGTAAAGATGGTATATATCGGTCCACTCCTTCTGGTACCTTCCCCACAGAGGGTCAAAATTTTGAATATCCATGAAGCTCCTAAAACGCGAAATTAACATCCATTTCCACTCAGACTTGGCACATCTCAATATTTCCATCAAAACAAGATATGCTATAAAGATGGTTAAGGTCGGATCATTCCTTCTAGTACTTCCCACACAAAGGGTCAAAGTTTTAAATAACCAAAAGGATCATAGAATCCAAAATAAGCTTCCGGTTCTCTTCAAATAACACACAACACAATATTTTTATTAACCCAAGGTCTGGTGTGAAGATGGGATATATCGGTCCACTTCTTCTGGCACCTCCCCCACAAAGGGTCAAAATTTTAAATATCGATGAATCTGTTAAAAATTCTGTTAAAATCTTGAAAATACCGAATGTAGCCGTTATATTAGGGTCTACGTGGACCTGCATAGGCAACTATTCAAATGCGAAACTTGATAAAAAAAATCGGTGAATAATGAAGCTAAAATCATAAAAACACCAAATATAGGGCGGTACTATTATATGGGGGCTATACCAAAACGTGGACCTGCACAAGCAATTTTCTATCCTAGGCTGAAGTATTCATTACGAACACCAAATACCAAATTTGAAACAATTCCGGTAAATAATGTAGCTAAAATCATCAAAATACCGAATATCGGGAGGTAGCGTTATATGGGGGCTGTATGAAGACGTGGACCTACATGGCTCATTTTTTGACTTAGGATGTAGTATCCATTACGAACTCCAAATACAAAATGTGAAACAATTCCGGTGAATAATGTAGCTATAATCATCAAAATACCGAAAATCGGGAGGTACCATTCTATGGGGGCTATACGAAGAGGTGGACCAAGACAGACAATTTTCTGTCTTAGGCTGAAGTATCCATTTCGAACTCCAAATACCAAATCCGGTGAAAAATGTCGCTAAAATCATCAAAATACCAAAAATAGAAAGGTACTGTTATATGAAGGCTATACGAAGACGTGGACCTGCACAGAAAATTTTCTGTCATGGGCTGTAGGATCCATTACGAACTTCAAATACCAAATTTGAAACAATTCCGATGAATAATGTCGCTGAAATCATAAAAATACCAAATATAGGGCGGTACTATTATATTGGGGCTATACCAAAACGTGGACCTGCACAAGCAATTTTCTGTCCAAGGCTGAAGTATTCATTACGAACTCCAAATTATCAAATTTGAAACAATTCCGGTGAATAATGTCCCTTAAACCATCAAAATTCCGAAAATAGAGAGGTACCATTATATGGGGGCTATACGAAGACGTGGACCTGCACAGACAATCTTGTGCCATGGGCTGTAGTATCCATTACGAACTTCAAATACCATATTTGAAACAATTCCGGTAAATAATGTCGCTAAAATCATCAAAATACCAAATATCGGAAGTTACCGTTGTATGGGGCCTACATGAAGACGTAGACCTGCACAGACAATTTCCTGTATTAGGCTGTAGTATTCATTACGAACTTTAAATACCAAATTTGAAACAATTCCGTTAATAATGTCGCTAAAATCATCAAAATACCGAATATCGGGAGGTATCGTTATATGTGAGCTATATGAAGACGTGAACCTGCACAAACCATTTTCTGTCTTAGGCTGTAGTATCTATTACGAACTTCAAATACCAAATTTGAAACAATTCCGCTGAATAATGTCGCTAAAATCACCAAAATACAGAATAATGGGAGGTACCGTTATATGGGGGCTATACCAAAACGTGGCCCATTTGCAATACCAAAAGTCCTGCAGACATAATATACGGCACGTCCCAATATTTACATCATATTTATTTAGGTCCGATACCAAATGGACAATATTGGCCCATTCCCTGCAGAACCTACTCCATAGAGGGTCAACAATTTGAATAGTTATAACCGAAGTCCAAAAATATTTTAACAATCGCCCTTGGGCTAAGGGTAGACATCTGTCGGCAAATCCGACTGATACTTTATAACTTGTTTTCTTTTCTTTTTTTTTTTTTGTCAAAAATCGAAAAAAATATTGAAAATAACGATAGTTAGAAATTTCAAAATCCCAAAATGTTTTTTTTTTTTTTTCAGATTCATATAACTTTTATTATATTTACCTTTGATTAGATTTTCGAAAGATTTTTCTTTGTTTCCTCTTCAGCTGTTGAGGTTTTATCTGCAATTTTGGTTTTGATTTTTTTTTTGGGGGAAACGGGAAATTTTTGCAAAATTCAAATTTTGATTGTTTTCTTTCTTTTTTTTTTTTTCTTCAATTGTTGATAATGATAAATTTTTGTTAAATGCGTTTCGATATGATTTTCTGGTTGTTGTTGTTGCAAAATACGTTGATATAACCGAATGACAATCGAAGAAACACTCACGCAAAACAACAAAAACAAAAAAATGACGAATGACAAATATGGAAATAATTTTTCAATGGACCCCAAAACTTTCAATTTTAACAATTTCTGTAACAAAAACAAAAAAAATAAAAAATGGAAACAAATTTATCAATGGATGGGATTTTGAAATACGGCGAATTTGAAATATGTGATGACGATGATGATGAATCTATTTCCCGCTGCGTTTCTCAATCGGTGTTTTGTGGGCTATTGCATGGCTGCTTTTGTTGTTAACATTTTTTTCTCGACGTTTTTTACGGAAATGCTATTTTTGTTATGTTTCGTTTTGTTGTGCAAATTTGGATCACTTTCAAGCGGCGCGGCAAGTTGGCCAGTGCCAATATCGGTCGGACAAGCCAAACGCCAACAATAAAAAGCCAAGACTAATAAAACGACACACACATAACCAAGCAGCAACAACAAAAACCAAAAGTGGTTGGGATCTGCAGCATCGGGGCTTGGTCAATGGTGGAAACTTTTCTTAATTATTCTTTCTTTTATAAAAATATAATTTTTTTTCAATAATTTTTCTTTATTTTATTTTCTATTTTTTTATTTCCTTTAAATTTCTCACTCACTTTTATTTTATTTATTTTATTTATTTATTTTTTCTTTTTTTTTTCAAGACATAAAAATCAAACCAAACTTGTTTTCTTATTTCATTACGATTCGATTTCGCGCAATTGATTTTTCTGTTGTTGTTGTTGCTGCCGTTTGATATTAATTTTGTTTTCTTTGTTATTTTTTCTCGATCGATCAACACAGACTCCCCACACTCAGTGGTGGAGAGACACCAAACAAAAAAAAAAAGCAGACAACACAAACAACAACAATACAGTACTCAAAAAAAAAACCGCAAGAATAGTTGTCTAACACAGCATAAATATCGCCCGGCAAACACGACCAACCTGTTCCAAAGTTACTACACAAATGAAATTCCATCTCTGATTTGATGTGTTGTTCGCCCATTCCCATTCAACAACACACACATGAACGCATGCACACTCACACAATTTACTCCCCAAATGACTCCCATAACCAGAGTAGTCAAACAGCTCTCGATTTTCTTGATAGTTGGCTGGTTCTCTGTTGTGCTGAGAGCACATCACACAAAGAAAAAAGAGAGCGAGAGTATTTTTTTTTAATGTTGTTTATGTTTGCCATGGTGAAGCTGGAGCTCTTGATGTGCATCGTTTCACATGCAGTTATTAATACACTATCACTTATAATATGGGGGCCAACATAGGATTTTCAACAAAACATCACTACTTGAGTGGCTGTAAGAGCGATATTCACACTCTCTTTCTCTTAAATGCCATTGTGAAAGAGTATTGTGTGTATGAAAGAAATACGAGGTAATATCGCGTTTTTGCCGATTTTTTGCCAACAAAACAGTGGTTTGTTTGATTTTTTCCTAGAAATAGAAGTGCCCAAGGCTTCCAACTTTGACGATTTATTGGTGTTTTTCCTATTATTCTTTCATTAAAAAGTGATTTTTTCCTCATTTGAAACGTTGATCAGACAAATAAAATTTAACTGATGGCGAAGCTGGAGCTTCGATTCAGATGCAATTACTAACACACTGTCAATTATAATATGCGGGCCAACATAGGATTTTGTACAAAACATCACCGCTGTGTTGTTCGTGTTTACTTTGTTGATTGGCTGTAAGAGCGATATTCACACTCTCTTTCTCTTAAATGCCATTGTGAAAGAGAATTGTGTGTGATAGTGCGTGATCAGCATTTAAATGTGAATAAATCTTTTGTGTCTCGAACCATCGCTTTACCGTGATACTGGTAGTGGACGGATGAAAACACCAAAATCAGCAGAAATGGTTCGAAAAGTAAAGAAGCGACTTGATTGAAACCCGCGTCGAAGTGCCCGAAAAATGGCTCGTGAGCTGAACATATCGCAATATTCCATTCGGCATTCGGTAAAAATTGAAAAATGAGCTCGGGATAAAGCCATTGAAATTCCAAAAAGTGCAAGAATATACACCGCAACAGAAAGAACAGAAAATAGACTCCGACTCAAAAGGGCTAAAGAGTTGCTTCGCTTGGCCGAAAGTGGTGAACTGCCGAATTTGGTTTTCTACGATCTCCGGTGAGAAAACATTCGTTGTTCAGCATTTTGTAAACAGAAAAAAATGATCATGTTTACTTGCCAAAAGGGTAGCTGAAAATGTGCAACTTCGGTTGGCCACCAGAACTCAAGCGCCGGTCATGGTGATGGTGTGGGCCGCCATAACAGCCGATGATCGCTCTCCGCTCGTATTAATCGACCATGGAATCAGAATAAATGCCTAATATTATCGCGAAAATATTCTGGAGGGTTTATTAAAGCCTTGGGCACGCAAACATTTTGGCCGCAGACCTTGGTCATTCCAACAGGACTCAGCACCATCGCACTCAGCACGCGCCACACAAGATTGGTTACAAAATGAGGTGACGGTTTTATTGGCAGTTTGAAGGCTATAATTCGTGCAAAAGGTGACCAATCCGAACAAAGCCAAACTTATTCTAAATTTTGATTTTTAACCATTCTTGCTTTCATTCAATAAAATTTTAAAAAAAAAATTAAAAATTATGGCGATTGACGTTGTTGCAGTTTTTTTTTTCTCACCCTGTATATTGCATCTTCACAGCAGATCTTGCGTTAGTAGAAGTAATAGGATGTGTGAAATATAAAAAGAACCAGATGCTAATTTTAGATTTTACAGTCGTTTTGATTATTCAAATCTTTGACCCTTTTTGGGGGAGTACCAGAAGAAATGGTCCGATCTCTAGCATCTTTATAACAGATCTTGTGTTGATGGAAATATTGAGATGTACCAAGTCTGAATGAATGTTAAATTCGCGTTTTATGAGCCTTATGTGTATTCACAAATTGGGCCTTCGTAGGGGTGGGGGTACCAGGAGAGAACTGATATATTCCATCTTCACCAGACCTTGGGTTAATAAAAATATTGTGATGTGTGTAATTTGAAGGTAATCGGACTCTTACATCACATTTTATAAGAGTTATAATTATTCAAAATGTTGACCCTATGTGGGGGAGGATGGATGGTAATCGGATGGATGGATGGAGTGGACTGATATTGTCCGTTTCACACCTGACTTAGCACTGATGCAAATATTAGGATTTACAACTTTGGAGCAAAATCGAATTATCCTTCCACTTTCTGTGAAAATTTTGGCCCTTAGTGGTGGAGGTTCCAGAAGGATTGGGCTGATATTGCCCATCTCCGAACTCGATCTAAGTTTCATAATAATATTGTGATGTGCCAAGTTTGGACCAAATCGGATACTCACTTCGATATACATCGCTAGATTGACTCCGAATGTCCTGAAACGGATTTGATCCAAAGAGTCCTAGGGTCTTAAACCGTTATTTCGATGAGACACGTTTTGGCCGTAGCAAATGATATATACTCTCTGATATATACCATATGGCTGAGGGTATAATTACTCGCGTTTCTAGTTTGTAACTTTTGTTTTAGGCTTATTGTTAAGGATTTAGTTCAGTATATCATTCATATTTTTATGTAAAAATGGCATTGTTCTTGGAATTTTATTGGCAGCGGTGGTTACATATTCCTCTTTTTCCAAAAAAATAATGTATTCAATACGATTTTAGTCTACAATTTAAAATTTCATTTAACATGGGTACTTGGAAGACGTTTCCCTTATACTCATTCATTCCTTGAAATTCTCTTTAATTTCTCTTCTGTACTTATCAAATTCCCCGTTTCCAAACAAAAAAAATCGTTTTGCCGCCATGATCTCTTATGCCCTTAGCAAATGCAACTCTTTTGCTCTCCACACATCTCTCTCTAATAACAGTGATTTTCCTATTGCGGACACTAGATGTAAAGCAGCGGTGCTCAAGAAAAAATATCTCTTTATAGTCAAATTTCTCTTTGCTCATTTAAATCAAGAACAAAACAGTGTTAAGTCATTATTTAAACAAATATTTTTTATCCATTTGTTTTATAAATTATTTTGGCAAACATTTATGTATAAAAACAATTAAATGGAATCGTAAAATATAAAGAAAAACAGAATTTTAATTTTCTCTTAAATTATCTCTTTTTTCGGCTCATGTTCTAGATTCTAGAACATGGTTTTGAGCACCGCTGATGTAAAGAGAAGGAGGGAATGTAAACAATCTCTAAATTAATTGACAACCACTGAGAGGTACTGAGGTGTTGAAATGCAATTCAACAGGCAATTACTGTGCCATTGTTCGATTCTTTATTTACTTCACAAGTGTAGGGTAGTGTTTTTATACCCTCCACCATGGGTAGGAGGGTATATTAACTTTGTCATTCCGTTTGTAACACCTCTAAATATTCGTCGTAGACCCCATAAAGTATATATATTCATAATCAGCATAAAATTCTAAGACGATTTAGCGATGTCCGTCTGTCTGTCTGTCTGTCCGTCTGTCTGTCTGTCCGTCTGTCTGTCTGTCTGTTGAAATCACGATAGAGCCCACATTATTTGACGTAGACCTTTGAAATTTGGCACAAGTGTGTGTATTGTCCCTAGGATGGTTGGTATTGAAAATGAGATATATCGGTCCACGTTCTGGTATAGTCCCCATATAACGGTACCTCCCGATATTCGGTATTTTGATGATTTATGCCACATTTTTTCACGGATTTATCTGAAAATTGGTATTTGTAGGTAATGACGGGTCCCTGAGCGTGTGGCAAAACATTGCATGTATAGGTCCTCGTTTTGGTATAGCCCCCATATAACGGTACCTACCGATATTCGGTATTTTGATGATTTATGTCACATTTTTTCACGGATTTGTCTGAAAATTGGTATTTGTAGGTCATGACGGGTCCCTGAGCGTGTGGCAAAACATTGCATGTATAGGTCCTCGTTTTGGTATAGCCCCCATATAACGGTACCTACCGATATTCGGTATTTTGATGATTTATGCCACATTTTTTCACGGATTTGTCTGAAAATTGGTATTTGTAGGTCACAACGGGTCCCTGAGCGTGTAGCAAAACATTGCATGTATAGGTCCACGTTCTGGTATAGTCCCCATATAACGGTACCTCCCGATATTCGGTATTTTGATGATTTATGCCACATTTTTTCACTGATTTGTGTAAAAGTTGGTATTTGTGGGTCATAATGGGTCCTAGCTCGTGTGGCGAAACATTGTAATTATAGGTGCACGTGTTGGTGTAGCCCCTATATAACGGTACCTCCCGATATTCGCATTTTAATGTTTTTTGCCACATTTTTTCTAATGTTCTTTTACCCTAGGGTGGAGGGTATTAAAAGTTTGGCCCGGCCGAACTTAATGTTTTTTTACTTGTTTTTTTGTGCGACGGTGTGGGTCTGGTCATGTTTATTTTGTTCGTTCTTCGCATGTCTTCGACAATTGACAATCGGATGGGTGGTAAACAGGTTTTCCTTTTTTTTTATTATTTGTTTTATTGTCATTTGATTGTTTTCCATTGTTTGTCCATATCGACCG